TTTTAGCTAAACAGCTTTTAATTCATGCTTGTACGGTGGACATGCAAATGTACGCAACATTGGGACAATCTGTCTTTACTAATTTCTCTATTCGGGTTAAAAACGAAGATAGAGGGGGAAAAAAGAGATCAAATGGCCATAAGTATTAAGTGGTGTGTGCTACGACTTAGACATTTATCGGTGCCATATTGACATGAATTCCACCAACACAACATTAATTTTTGATCTTTTTCCTGAATCCAGCCGCAATACAGATATTATCCAGATAATGCACACTCTTTCATTGGCTCTGAGCCAAATTCTGCAATATGTGAAATTTAAGCTAAAATTATTAAAAAGCTGGAACACTTTTTTTTTTTTAATAAACTTGACTGACAAAATGGTGACCTTTTTTTTTACATTTTAAAAGTATCTCAGTTTCTAAAATGCTAAATATTTGAAGAAAATGCACTGAATTATTCACTTCTTTTTTTGAGTAAGAAAACTAGGTTACTTTTTAGATTTACATCTACAGAACTGAGAAACAGGAATCCTGCCTTAATATCTATAATTATTTAATATTAGAGGAATTGTACAAAATTTTATTATGAGATATAAATCAAAATTCAAATTGCATTTTTCTTATTTTTCATTAACATACAATTATAATTTAAATTTTTTCAATTTAATACGTCTATGATATTTTGACTGGTCTGAAGTCTACACTATAACATGAACAGACACCTAAATAGTTCTTGAATATTCGCAAAATTTAATTCATTAATTTTTTTTACTGTAATAATATAAAAAACTTAATTTTTGCTGGGAAAAGTGAGAAGAAAAAAATGGGCGAATATTTTTTTTTCTTATATTGTACATTTGACTCATCAAAAATTGGTGAAAATAAACTCCAAACAAAACACACAAAAAGTCTTTTCAGCAAAAATTAATTCCAACTAAAAAAAGTATTTTATAATGGATATAAATAATTTTAAAAAATGCTACAACTAATATTCAGATTTTAGTGTTTTTATAAGTGTACATATAAAATTAAAAACAAATATTTATTTTTAACATTAATCTAATCAAAAACAACAAAATTTTTCACAATAATAACATGTTTTCATTCTATTTGGTTCTATACCATAATAGTTAATAAAGAATTATAAAAAGTTACAACAATGTTAAATATTTTATTTTTGGAGGCAATATTTCAGCCAATCTGATTAAAA